CTCACCACATGGCATGCAGGATATTAGTTCCCCGACCAGGGATAGAACCTGTGCCCACTGCAGAGGAAGTGCAGAGTCCTAGCCACTGGACTGCCAGGGAAGTCCCAGGGACCTCGCCTTTTACCTTTGAGTTGATGGTTTTTCCTAGACACCCCAAGTTCTAATTGCCTAGAGGAGAATCTAAGTGCCACTTCTACTTACTGTGGAGGAGGTTTGTGTTCATCTTAACTCCAAGGAAAAGAACAACTTTCAAGTGATTCTCCTCTCATCATATAACATTCTTTAAAAAGCCTTCTTGCAAAAACCCACGGGTGAGTCCCGTTAACTCCATTCTGCTGGTGAGATTGTGGGTGTCCTTTAGTGCCTTTCAGCTCAGATTGGAAGCAAAACACCTCCAGGCCTTACAGACTGAAGGACGTCATCAGGAAAACCCAGAGGGAGTTTTCCTCTTGGTGTGCCTAAGCTGAACCCATCTCTGCTAGGAACTATTACTTTGTGCATCTGACGCGTAGTCAGTTGTTGAAGTTCTGGCTCAGGCTCACATGGAAAAATGCTTGCATAATAGCACGTGGTTCATGTTGGTGAGGGAATGGTGTCCTATGGGATTCTCTTAGATAATATGTATTCGGGGACAAAGGACCAGTTGGAAGTAGTGTGGATGACTCTGCGTATAAGCAACTTACATCTTTAGCCAACTATTGCCTAACAAATATAGATCAGCATGGCCAAGATAATTTGTAAAATGTCTCTTTCTTCCAGGATTAAGAAGGGTGAGGGAAAACACTTATGATACATTAAGTGATAAGGAGCCAACATGTCAGTGGTTTTCTTCCCAAGCCAGAGAGATTTATTCACTCATCCATCAATCCAACAAATTATGTGGCTTATGATATGGAGGTGAATATGACAACTTCCTACCCTCACAGAACTCAGTCTAGTAACAGACACATATTTAGATAATTCTAACATGATCTGGTAAGAGAGAAGTGCATTAGATTTTTTAAAATAAATTTATTATTTTTTAATTTATTTGGTTATTTTTGGCTGTATTGGGTCTTTGTTGCCACACACTGGCTTTCTCTAGTTGCGGCCAGCAGGGGCTACTCTTCGTTGCGGAGCACGGGCTCTAGGTACACGGGCTTCAGTAGTTGTGGCCCGTGGGTTCTAGAGCACAGGCTCAGTAGCTGTGGTGCACGGGCTTAGTTGCTCCGCAGCATGTGGGATCTTCCCGGACCAGGGCTCGAACCTGTGTCCCCTGCACTGGCAGGCGGATTCCTAGCCACTGTGCCACCAGGGAAGCCCCAGTGCATTAGATTTTATGAGAATATTTTGGAAGCGCATCTAACACAGCTTAAGGTGGGTAGGGAATGGGGAGAATATCAGGGAAGCCTTCCTGGAGGTTGTTACATCTACATTTTTTGTTTGTTTTTAATATTTATTTATTTATTTTGGCTGCATTGGGTCTTAGTTGCGGCACGCGGGATCTTTCGTTGCGGCGTGCAGGCTTCTCTCTAGTTGTGGCACTCGGACTCTCTAGTTGTGGCGTGCAGGCTCAGTTGCCCCATGGCATGTGGGATCTTAGTTCCCTGACCAGGGATCAAACCCACGTCCCCTGTGTTGGAAGGTGGATTCTTAACCACTGGACCACCAGGGAAGTCCCCACGCAGGATCATTTAGTTGTGGGCGTTTGGGATCCTTTTAGTTGCGGCATGTGGACTCTTAGTTGTGAAATGCAGGATCTAGTTCCCTGACGAGGGATTGAACCCAGGCCCCCAGCAGTGGGAGAGCAGAGTCTTAACCGCTGGACCACGAGGGAAGTCTCTACATTGGTTTTAAAATAATCAGAAAGCATTTTGTTGGCTGAGGAAGGAAAGAGGGATGGGCATGTGGGTGGGGGTGGGGTGAGTGGATGGTGATGTTCCAGGAAAGTGACAGTGTCTGCCAAGGTATTGAGGGGACACAGACTTATATTCTGGCAGTGCTTGTTTGAAATTTTTTTTAAAATAAAATTAATTAATTAATTAATTTATTCTGGCTGCGTTGGGTCTTCATTGCTGTGCGCGGGCTTTCTCTAGTTGTGGCGAGCGGGGGCTACTCTTTTGCGGTGCACAGGCTTCTCATTGCGGTGGCTTCTCTTTGTTGCTGAGTACGGGCTCTAGGTGCGCAGGCTTCAGTAGTTATGGCATGCAGGTGCAGTAGCTGTGGCTCACAGGCTCAGAAGTTGTGGCACACGGGCTTAGTTGCTCTGCAGCATGTGAGATCCTCCCGGACCAGGGCTTGAACCCTAATCCCCTGCATTGGCAGGGTGGATTCTTAACCACTGCACCACCAGGGAAGTCCCTTGTTTGAAATGTTTATTGGACATCTGTAGAAATGTCATGTAGGCAAGTAGAGGTGTGTGTCTGCAGTTCCAAGGCAAGAACAGAGCTGGAGATCTAGATTTGGCAGTCACTGGTAAATACATGGTATTTACACCTGTAAATATCTGTAAATACTGAATGAAGTTGCCCAGAAGAGTGTAAAATTAGAGAAGAAGACCCAGAGAGACAGGATTGCCTTAATATTTAGAGGGTGGTCTGAGAGGAGGAGCCAGCAAAGGAAGCTGAAAGGGGTGCCTAGAAAGTTTGTGGGGAACCAATAATGTGTCAAGAAAAAAAAGGGTCTCATTAAGCATGGGGTGATCAGCAGCTTCAAATGCTTTGGGGAAGGAGAGAAAGAGAAAACCAAAGAAGTGACCATTGCATTTGGTAACTTGAAGATCGTCAATGACCTTGACAGAAACTGTTTCTGTGAAGTAGCAGGGACAGAGCCATAGTGCAGAGGATGGAAGATAGAATGTAAGATAAGGACAGAGAGATGAACAAGAGCAACTCTTGTCTTTGGGCTAATGGGTCTTCTGGCCTCTCTTCCTAAGTGCCATTCAAAGGAAAGAGAGGGAGTTTGTGGTCCACCGAAAAGACTGCCCAGGGTCAAAAAGTGCCAGGTCACTCATACCAGGGCTCCAGAGGGCACTGATCCTTGCTTATTAGGCTCATCTCAGCTTCCACAGACATGTAGTACTTTCAAGACTCTACATAATGTTCTTAGAACAGCACACAGCACATAGTCAGTGCTATATGAACTTTTGTTAAAATTATCCCAGTTTCTAGGCAAGCTCTTTGGTGCTTAAGAAGAACAAATCGTTTATGTAGACCAAATCATTTTTCAGGAAGTGTGAAGACACAAATCTTAACACATGGCAAAAAATGAAGCATAAGAAAGAAAAATGACTTGTGTATGGGGTGCCAGTCCTCTAGTTTAATGATCTATTCTCTCTTTTCTGGTTAAGGTTTTTTAGAGAGCATAGGATTGAGCTATCGAACAAGGGCAGAGAACATGAAAAGGAAAACAAAGAATAAAGGCATATCCGGAGAAATACATTTACGAAATCAACCAAAATAGAAGTCAGTACCGCACACACTGCATTAAAGTTTTGTATCTTTCAGGTAGCTGAGAGATGACAGATACAGGGTGGATTTTTAGTTTTGGTTTGTTCATTGGTTAGATGAAAAATATTAACGTAGAAACGGAGGAATAATAATACAATGGTGCAGCTGTTCCACTGTGGAGGAATTTTGAAACCGAACTGCTCCGCAGATCAAGAATAAGGCAGAGGGCTTCTCTGGTGGCGCAGTGGCTGAGAGTCCGCCTGCCGATGCAGGGGACGCGGGTTCGTGCCCCAGTCCGGGAAGATCCCACATGCTGCGGAGTGGCTGGGCCCGTGAGCCATGGCCGCTGAGCCTGCGCTCCTCAACGGGAGAGGCCACAACAGTGACAGGCCCGCGTACCAGAAAAAAAAAAAAAACAGAATAAGGCAGAAAGTGGAGATAATGTAGAGGAAGTGTAAATAATCATAAACTTCTCCTTGATCTCTGAATGCCTTATCACTCCTTTCTGCCTGAAGGTTAAATCCTGGATGTTTTCAGTTTTCATGTGGAAATTGTGGTTCTCTATCTTACAGGAATATTGTGGAGATTAAGTGAGATATGTAAAGTGTACAGTATATAGTGACTGCATCTTTAGTGCGTCTTTGAAAGAAGTACACATCCCCTCTTGACTGATGACTGGTGTTTCCAGTTTATTTTTTTCCTTATACCCTTTAACTCCACTGAAGATGCTTTCAATACAAATCTAATAATAACTGCAGCTAACGTTTATCATGTACTCAAATTAAGTCATTTAACCTTCGAAACAATTCTATAAGGTAGGATTTTTACCCTCATCTCGTGCGTGGAGTCAGCATTTGGCATCCTGGCTTCAGAGCCCATCTTAACTACTATTTCTACACTTTTGGCCGGACAGACCTGGGCCACCCTTTCGGGCATATTCTGCTGCTAGCAAACTGAGTTTTCTTTTTTGAAACCATTCTTAACTGCCTTCCTTTGCCAAGGGCTCTCGCCTCAGTTCCAGGGCCCATGAGAAGGTAATTTAATTCACCCAGATGGCACCAGCCCAGCTACGTCCTCCTCAGATCCGCGAACTTTCACCTTGGCTGAGCAACGAGTCAGCGCTACCGTCCCTGTATTTCACTGGCCGCGGGGCTGCCCCGCAGTGTCATTATTTTAAGTAGCAATACAGTACGGGTATTCTCTGCAAAGACACAAGACCCCACCAATCTCTACGAGCGACCACGTTAACTGGACCACTGAGCCGGCCCCAGAGTCCAGGCACTGGCGCGACGGTGTGGGCACCGATGTGCAGCAGGACCTCGGACTGGGACTGGCAGGGCGGGCAGAGGGGGAACCGCCTGAGACAGGGAGCGCCTGGGCCAGGCCGGAGGGGACGCAGCAGGCGGGGCGACGCGGGAAGGGGCGGGGCTAGGCGGGAAGGGGCGGGGCCAGGAGCCCGCCGGGCCGCTCCCCGCCCCTCCCCCTCCGCTCCTCGCTCCAGCCCTCGCCCCGCCCCGCCCCTCCGGCCCAGGCCTGCGGCTCCGCCCTCCTGGTGACGTCACTGGCCAGGCCAGCCGGCGCCATTTTGAAAGTGGAGTCGCCTGCCCTGCCGCTGCCGCCGCCGCCGTCGCTGTCGTAGCCGCCGCCGCCGCCGCTGGAGAAAGAGCAAGAGTGGGGAAGACCAAGAGTGAAATCCACCATCCCGCCGGCTGGTTTGCCAGCCCCTCCTTCCTTCTCCCCCGACCCCCGCCCCCTCCCCCCACAGGTGCCATCCGCCGCCATCCGCCCTCTCTACCCCCCCATCCCCAGGTGAGGGGGGTGAGTTCAGGAAGCGGAGACCCCGAGGAACCCAGCAGGGTCACCATTTGCAGCGCAACATGGCAGGTAAAGGAGAAATCACCCTCTCCACTGACAAGGCACCGCTTCTTTCCTCCTCCCTCCATCACCCCCTAGCGACTGCTTGCGCCTCTCGGAGAGCCACGGGGCACCCCTGGGATTTCAGGGAATTGGTCAAGTGGGCTGGGGTGGGGGTGGGGCGGGTTCTGGAGAGGCGAGTGGTCGCTGTGGTATCGAAATGGCTTTGAACAGGACGGCTGGAGCCTGGGCATGGGTGGGGGTGGGGTGTGTGCCGGCGAGCTGAGGGGTAAGGCGTGGGTGGGGCGGGGTAGGGGCGAGTGCCGATTCGTCCCTGCGCTTGGGAGCCCGGTGGAACCTCCGCCCCCGCCCCCCCACAGGGGGCTTTTCTGCGGCTCTTCCTTCCTTTAGTTCCTCTGTTTCTCCCTGCTGCAAGCCTTTTTGGGTGTTCCTACAAATAAATATATTTTGCACTGAGAAGGAAGAGTGCTTTATAAGTTGAAATACAATGGGGACATAACGTGTATTTCTTTCCACTGTGGGTACGTATATTTTTGAGACTGTAAGCCTGAATTTTTTTTTTTGTCTGGAACCATCTCCCTTTCGTTTTTTTTTACCCTTTAGGTCCAAAGAGTGCAAGGCCTCTAATACAGCGAGTTGCGTGAAAAATGTAATTTTAACTTTCCGTTTTGCATGTTAGCTTTTGTGCAGATGTCCTTTTCCCAAAAGGGTTTCATGGAGTTAGTTAAAATAGTTGTGGAGCTCAGAGATATAAATAGCCAAGAGGAGAGAGATTTAGGTAAAAGCTTGGGGCGGAGGGGGGGAGATGCAGAGAGAAAACCAGGTTGGAATATTTAGCAAGGAACGGAGGTGAAGGAAGAGAAAGGTAATTGCTTCGAGGATTATTTTTGTATATTTTGGTGTTGCTGAATATCTTCCTTCATCTAGTAGAATCAGTCCTAGATCTAGATTCAGTTTCTTTCTCCATAGATCCTGGACATTGCCCCCTCCCTGCTTGGCAGTGAAATGGAAACATTCAGGGACTAAACCAGTTTTCCGTGCTTTTATCAATATTTAGATAGATAATTAAACCCGTAAAAAAGTTAACATATTGGATTGACTTAGGGTTTGCTATGCATAAGTTGCTTTTTGGCCTTGTTGAATGATTAAGTGAAATTAAAATTGTTCTGCACAAGATGATGACAAATGAGCGAAATTAATTCTTTGCCAGGTCCTTTGGATTCTGACGGATTAGGTGAAGGGAGGCAAACCAAGCTTCCTTTTGGCAATCTCTTCACCAACATTCAATTCAGTTTCTTTTCCTCTCTGGAGCCAGTGATTTGCTGGTAATGAACTGCAAAGAAATGGGTGGTGAGGTTGTGTTTGCTGTATGTGCGCTGTGGTGATAGGGTTCATATGAATCATCGCTCCTCACCCAGGCAGTAATGTTCCTGAAGTTTTCTCTTCGTTCCGTGTTTTATGGTAGCTTAACCTTATTAACTCTCCTGCAGCCTTTTGTAGCCTTAAAGGAAAACTCTTTAACTTTCGGTATTTACTTTTTTCTGGTAGGTCTTGCTTGAAGTAAGGCTTTTACTGTGTTTGAGGGGAAGGGAAAATGGAAGGGAACTTTTGAACTGATGTACAGTGGTAACGATAGTACATGGCCTTTAAATATTTCAGACCTGGAATCTCTCTCTCTTTTTTGATGCAATACCAACTATTGGGGACTAACCTTTTTCCAAATTAGTGCTGTGGGGTGGTGGTTGTATGTGTGGGCAGTACCAGGCTGTTAGTATCATGCCAACTATGGATGCCATCTCTGTTTATGAGAGTAAACATGAGTAGGACTCAGTTTTAATTGGTATGTTTTCTTTTTCCAGGAGCTGGAGGAGGGAATGATATTCAGTGGTGTTTTTCTCAGGTGAAAGGAGCAGTAGATGATGATGTAGCAGAAGGTAAGAAAGCATTTAATAATGCAGAATTTGGATATAGAATCTTTCCAAAATCTCTGTTGCTGAAGGATTTCCTTTCAGCTGAGTCTGTTCTAGTTTAAGAACATTTTATGTTTGTTGTCCAAGCAGGGAAAGAACAGTTTTAAAAGTCACCTTTCTGGAAGATAATCTTAAATCTTTTATTACTTATGCCGTGTTTTATTATTATTTTTTCCTGAATAAAATAAGGAGCACTAGATGATGATATATATAAAACCGTCACAAGAAAAATCTAAGGTCCATGCGGTAAAGGTGTCCTTGCTGTGTAAATTTCACGTACAAATAAATGGTGATGCATTTTCATGGTTGTACACTGCTTTTAGATAATTTAGTTGAAATAGGTGCCATCCATATTTAGCTCAGAAATATTCTTGATAGCATCTCCCATTTTTGAGGGGAGATTTTTAGTTTTTTTGCACTTGCCTACTATGAGAGTGTGGTGTTGATTGGCATATTCTGTGAAGAAATAATGCATTTAATCGTCTTATAAAGATTAACTTAGGTGGATAAGAAAATAACGGTGTTATAGATATATAGCATGTCTTCTGGAGAGCTTATTGTTGTGTATTTTGAAGCTGGATTTGATCAGTGGAAGGGCTTTAGTTTTCCCCCAGATTTGTTTATTAGTGTATTTCAAAATTCTAGTTTTGAAACTTTAGGATTTTGCATTCATTTGAGATGGTCTTAGATGGAGGAAGTCTTGAGATGGAGGAGACATTATATTCAATAAAGTAGTTTTATTATTTCATTGTTCAGAAATATTAAAGTTTGAATTTTAATAGTATTGTGTGTTTGAATTACAGTAGGAATTTTCTAATACTCAGATAAAATATGTACTTTTAATTTTCAAAAATTTGTCTAGTGAAAATTTATAAATTATCTGTCTCTAGAATGTGTTGTCCTCATAATAAGATCCTATTTCTGACTTACGGTCAGTGTACTGTTTGTTTTGAGGGTTTTTCCAAGGCCACGGTAGGATGATGGCCTTGTGTTGAGCCAGTTGAATGCTTGGATTTGCTTGTGTCAGTGTTATTCGTTTTTGTTTTTTTTTTTTAATTTTAAAATTTATATTTTTAAAATTTTGGCTGCGTTGGGTCTTCGTTGCTGCGCACGGGTTTTCTCTAGTTGTGGCGAGCGGGGGCTACTCTTCGTTGCGGTGCGCAGGCTTCTCATTGTGGTGGCTTCTCTTGTTGTGGAGCACGGGCTCTAGGCCCGCGGGCTTCAGTAGTTGTGGCACGCGGGCTCAGTAGTTGTGGCTCGCAGGCTCTAGAGCGCAGGCTCAGTAGTTGTAGCGCACGGGCTTAGTTCCCCACGGCATGTGGGGTGTTGCCGGACCAGGGCTCGAACCCGTGTCTCCTACATTGGCAGGTGGATTCTTCACCACTGTGCCACCAGGGAAGTCCTCAATGTCATTCTTAATTAAGTACCTGATCAGTTTGCTGAATTGTGTGGGGAGCCAACTGGCATACATTGTACTTCTGATACAGAGCACTCTCACATTTCTTTCTATTGAATCCTCATCTGTTTTTCAGATGAGAAACTGGAAGCTTAAAGCAGTTAAGAGATTCACTGATGGTCATACAAATAGTGTAAATCAGGGTCTTCTGATGAAGCCTGTGGTGTTTGGCTTGTTCAGAGAGATAAATCCTAAGTTGAAGGGAGGAGTCATGTGTTACTCATTTTGTAATTCCATTACCTATTGAACAGTAGGTACTCAGATATTGGATCATTAGTTCTGTGCTGTTGTGTAATACTCGCCAAGTTATAAAAGTGCTGTATACTTGAAAAACATTCCTTTGTTGATGTCCATTTATTCCCTTTATCAAAGATCTTCTAGGGGCCTCCTAAATGCTGAGCACTAGGGCTCCAAGGTGTCTAGAATACAAACCCTGTGCGTAGTTCACTGTTAAACAGGCAAAGACCACATGCATTTGATTTAATCAGAAGAAATTGATGATTCCAAACTTAACTGAACCAAATGATAGCTTGTGACATGTATGATGGATCAGTGGTAATTTTCTTCTGCTAATATTTAGTAACTGCATTTTGCAACTGATTCATTAAATAATTTTCATCTGTGGTTGTTAAATATTACTTTTAACATACAGCACATTCCTAGTATCTTATGCTGAAGCTTGGTATGTATATTTTAATAGAAACATGATTTATTCTAGTACCTATGTCTATACAAATGCAATAAGTATAAAAAGCACCCAATTTTCAAATTATGCAGCTTTAATTTGGGTTTTTTGCATACTGTAGTTTGCATATCATAGTCTATTATGTTTATTTTACTAAGAGAAGGTTTACTTTTCTGAAATAAAGTAAGATTAATACATTTCCCCCTTGGTTTAGATTATAGTCTCTAAATGGGTTACATCTGGCTCAACCTTTAGTTTAGCTTGCCTGTTTTCTGTTAACAGTACATCCTAAGTTCTTTTCCATCAAAGGCACCAAATTGTCTTTCCCCTCCTACATGTATTCAGCTGTCATGGCATACTCTTTTTACTTCTGTAATGCTTTAATCTTCTTTCCATACCCACTTTTACCTTGGTTAAGGTTCTCAGTATCTCTCATCAGGATTGCTCTAACTTCCTAAATGATTCCCTGCTTCTTGTCACGTTTTGCTTCTAAGTTAATCTTAAATGCCGTCCCAGTTTTATTTTCCTCAGAAATCTTTAGTGGTCACTGTATCCACAGGCTTATGAATTACATTCAGATATTTTAGTATAGAATGTGAGACTTCTCACTGGTATGGCCCCTACTTCTCTAAGTTTATTTGCTAGTGTGGTTTACGATCCAGCTAAATGGATACAGTTCTTCACACAAGTCCTGTACACTCTTACTTTGGGACTTCGTGATTTTTTTTTTTTTTTTTTGCTGTTCCTACCTTGGAAGGCCTGATACTCCTGCCACAGTTCTCTTATCAGAATCATTCTTATCCTTCAGGTCATGCCTGTAACCCTTTTACTCATCTCCCTTTTTTGGGAGTATTTTAAGAATCTACCTTCGTAGCACTTTGTATTTATAGTATTAGTACCCCAAACCTCTACTGTTGTACTGTAAGCTGTATGTGGGACATTCTATATATAAACTGCTATGCTTAAGAGAAAGCCTGGAACACAGTAGGTATCCAGTATTTATTGAATGGAGGAAGAAAATTTACTATAATGAGGTTATGAAGGGGGACAAGTATGGGTGAAAGGTAGCATGACTGAGACATACTTTTGGCAATCATGAATTTATTGACTTGGCAGCTTTGTAAGTGGACTGATGGTATATAGCCGTGTAGTAGAAAGAAGCGAGGAGACCTTGGGTTTCTATCCTAGCGACAGACTAGTATATGTCACTTCGGGTAAGTACTCCTCTGAGTTCCAGTATGCTTAGCCTTAAGAAAACAGAACTGGATTAGGTGATTTCAGTTGTTCTTGTACTGTTAATCTTGTTAACTCTCAAAGATGTCTTAGAAAAGAGACAGCCCCACATTATTATTACTGGTAAGTTAAATTGTTTGAGATGTTAGACTTTCTGGGGGCCTTAATTTAAAAATAAGACAGTGGACTTAGTTACTCAAGGCTCAGAATTTTTCCTTAAATAACATTACAGAACTAAGACAGAATTTTGACATTTGATCAGATACTCTCATTGTCTTTTGGCCCACGTAAGCCCTTCAGGACAGTTACAGCCTGTGTTGGGGTACTTATTCTATGCACACACGGCTCTTCAGGCACTTTAAGTAGTTTACCTTTGATGTAGCTAATTGTTTGGGAGAAGGATGAGGCACTAAAATCATTCTCATGTAGTTTTTATTTTAACCTTCATAGTTAACAGTAATAACATTTTATCATATCCTGTACTTTTAGTTTTTCCTTTATTGATAGCTATTCTCCCATGAGAAGGTAGGTCAGAGCACAAAGTCCATGGTTTGAATCCTGCCCAGCCACCTACTAGCTGTGTGATCTTGGGCAAGTTAACTCAACCTCTTTGTGCCTGTTTTCCCCCTCTGTAAAATGAGGATGACAGTAAAACTTGTCTTAGGATTTTGTTTTGATGATTAAATGAGTTAATATTCCTAAAACAGAAACCCAGCACATAATAAGGGTTTAGCTATTGTTATTACTTGAATATTTATGATGAGTAAGGGAGAGTAGGAGAATGAGGAAACTGGGCAATTGTCTTTAAAGGCTATTAAAAACTTCTCATCAGCCAAAGTGAGGAAAATGGTATGTGTATGTTTTATACATATTCTTTGATTCCACAGATATAAAGTTCAAAAACATTTAGAATTAAACCATAGATTTAGAGACACATATGAAGCTGGTAAAACTTTATAAAGAATAGCTACAAAGTAATTAACTATAAAAGCCAGGACAGTGGTTATCGTTAAGCAGTGATAGGCAGTTGTGATTGCCAGGGGTTCTGGGAAGGCTCATGGGGTGGCAAATTGACCTGGATGGTGGTTGTACAGATGTTTGTAATAACTGATTAACCTGAAGATTGTTGTTTTGATTTTGATTTTCTATATTTGTTAGACTTCACAATGAAAAACGTTTTTAAAAAATCCCATACTATACTAAAGGGTTTAGAATGAAAAATGGCAATCCCTTCCACACTCACTCCCTAATCCTCCTTAGCCCTTCTCCTAAAGGCAATTATGTTGAACCCTTCTTCTAGCTGTTTCCCTTGGGCTTAATTACATTTTTTGTGAATAAAATTATATTTCTATTTCTTTCAATTTTAGACATTTTCAATTGACTTCCTTCCATGGTAGATGAAGATTAAGCTGTTGACGTTTTTGTGCGTTTGCCCCAGCGTTACATCACATGTTGTGGTTAAATTAGAAGTCAGTGCTTACATTGTTACAAGAATGCAGATATTCTCTACTGAGCCGGTACTACACTGTAGTGTTGCTCATTTCTTGTGCATCCCTTCATTTTCCCTGAAGCTAATAATTGCCTGTTTTT